CAAGCATGTTCTGCCACTGCCGACAGTTGTGTTTGAGATAATTTAATATTTCTCTGATGTTCTTTTAGTCTTACGCTGATGTTACGTCCCGTCTGCCCAATGTAGCACCTGCCACATGAACAATTAATCCGATATACACCTTCTGTTGATAGTTTAGGTAATGCGTCTTTAGTGCAAGATACTAGTTTTTGAATTTTGTGTACTGTACCAAATCTTACTGTAATGTTTTGCTTTTGCAAAACGCGGGCTAATTTGTCAGTTACTCCTGAGATATATGGAATTTTTATTGTTTTAACAATCTGGTCGCTTTCAGTAGTATTGCTTTGCGATCGTGATTTGGCATTCAGTGCTCTGTTAATTCTGGTAAGCTTTGATGTGATTTCTCTATTCACTAAGGTTCCAGTGGACGAATCGCTTAAATTACTTGATACACTAGTAAAGAATACCGGTTTACAAAAAGATATTCCGAAACTTGCTGGCCATTGCTTAAATAACACTTACTTCTTATGGAGAGGGGATTTCTTTAAACAAAAGGAAGGAGCAGCAATGGGTTCTCCTTTATCCCCTGCTATAGCAAATTTGTACATGGAAAACTTTGAAATAAGAGCACTTGCCTCGAGCACATTAAAACCATCCTTTTGGTTTAGGTATGTGGATGACACTTTGGTTGTCTGGCCACATGGTAAAGATACACTTAATGATTTTCTAAATCATCTCAATGCACAAAACCCGGCCATCCAGTTCACCATGGAAATGGAGGTGAATAATACACTCCCATTCCTAGATATTTTGCTTGGACATGGCCTAAACGGTAAAATAACACACAGCGTTTACAGAAAGCAAACGCACACTGATGCCTATCTGAATGCAGAATCACATCATCATCCAGCTCAAAAATCCTCTCTTATTAAGACGCTCGTGCATTGGGCGAAAACAGTGTCAGATGGTGAGAGTCTAGTGAGAGAGATTAAACACGTTAAAGACGCACTACGACAGAATGGCTACAACAATGCTCAAATTAACAGAGCACTGAATGCCAAATCACGATCGCAAAGCAATACTACTGAAAGCGACCAGATTGTTAAAACAATAAAAATTCCATATATCTCAGGAGTAACTGACAAATTAGCCCGCGTTTTGCAAAAGCAAAACATTACAGTAAGATTTGGTACAGTACACAAAATTCAAAAACTAGTATCTTGCACTAAAGACGCATTACCTAAACTATCAACAGAAGGTGTATATCGGATTAATTGTTCATGTGGCAGCTGCTACATTGGGCAGACGGGACGTAACATCAGCGTAAGACTAAAAGAACATCAGAGAAATATTAAATTATCTCAAACACAACTGTCGGCAGTGGCAGAACATGCTTGTCAACAAGGACACTCAATTGATTTTGACAATGTTGCAGTGGTGTGTAAAACTAATTATTACTGGCAAAGACTAATTAGAGAATCCATTGAAATTGAGAGGAACAAGAATAACTTTAATCGCTCTGACAGCTACCGGCTCAGTGCGGCCTGGAAGCGTATTATTAAATAATACACATTACATTTTGATTTAAAGAATTACTAATCTACAACTCATTACTAATCATAACCAATGACTGATTACTAATCGATTATATAATTACATTACCCCCCCCTCCGCCTCTAATCACTGCACCTGATGAGTTAAGTGATGACGTCACTCTTCTGCTCTATATAAAACCGGGAGCAAGCGAGGGCTTTACCATTCTGGTGAATTGCCCGATGATGCTGGAAGTATTTACCAGCGAAACGGCGTACTCAAACTGTAAATGTGAATTAACTCTTCAACACACCGGTGGGCTGAAGTAGTGAATTATTTGTCTTTTGTCAACGTGACACTTTTCTTTGCTGATTGGCCGTGTCGGGTGGTGGAGGGTTACGACACATTTATAAATAAACGCGATCTAACCCAAAAACCTTTATTATGAATAATATTGGTCGCGAAAGCCTACGTGTTAAACTGAGCTTTGCGTTTGTCTACAAATGTCCAGCATGGGACGGGTCAGACACACCTGGTATGCCTGCCAGGATGTGTGGCAGGGGATGGTTTCGTGGTGTAAACTTGTAAGTGTTCTGGGTTATTTATTTGACCTTTCCTGTACTTTGCACGACGCTCACGTATTTTCGTAACTGTTGGCGTCACGTCCTTACCCCGTGTGGCCCTCTACTGGAACATCGGGTGATAAATTAGCTTTTTTTTATAGCTGTGAGGATTCCTCCCGCAGTGATAAATTGAACAGAGTCTGAGTCTGAAAAAGAGACACACGGTAGCTTCAAAGGGGCATTAGCTGGTAAAATAAAAGAATAGTTTAATAGTTTAGTTTGTGATGGCCAGGCCGCTTGTGACTAAGAGACACACAGTAGCTTCAATGGGGCATTAGCTGGTGAAATAAAAATAGTTTTATAGTTTAATAGTTTAGTTTGTGATGGCCAGGCCGCTTGTGACTAAGAGATACACAGTAGCTAGGTGAAATAAAAATAGTTTTATAGTTTAATAGTTGAGTTTGTGATGAGCAGGCCGCTTGTGACTAAGAGACACACGGTAGCTTCAATGGGGCATTAGCTGGTGAAATAAAAAAAATAGTTTAATAGTTTAGTTTGTGATGGCCAGTCCGCTTGTGACTAAGAGACACACAGTAGCTGGTGAAATAAAAAAATAGTTTATAGTTTAATAGTTTAGTTTGTGATGGCCAGGCCGCTTGTGACAAAGAGACACACAGTAGCTGGTGAAATAAAAATAGTTTATAGTTTAATAGTTTAGTTTGTGATGGCCAGGCCGCTTGTAACAAAGAGACACACAGTAGCTGGTGAAATAAAAAATAGTTTTATAGTTTAGTTTGTGTTGGCCAGGCCGCTTGTGACTAAGAGACACACAGTAGCTGGTGAAATAAAAATAGTTTTATAGTTTAATAGTTTAGTTTGTGATGGCCAGGCCGCTTGTGACTAAGAGACACACAGTAGCTTGTGAAATAAAAATAGTTTAATAGTTTAGTTTGTGATGACCAGGCCGCTTGTGACTAAGAGACACACAGTAGCTGGTGAAATAAAAATAGTTTTATAGTTTAATAGTTTAGTTTGTGATGACCAGGCCGCTTATGACTAAGAGACACACAGTAGCTGGTGAAATAAAAATAGTTTTATAGTTTAATAGTTTAGTTTGTGATGGCCAGGCCGCTTGTGACTAAGAGACACACAGTAGCTTCAATGGGGCATTAGCTGGTGAAATAAAAAACAGTTTATAGTTTAGTTTGTGATGGCCAGGCCGCTTGTGACTAAGAGAGACAGCAGCTGGTGAAATAAAAATAGTTTATAGTTTAATAGTTTAGTTTGTGATGGCCAGGCCGCTTGTGACTAAGAGACACAGTAGCTTCAATGAGGCATTAGCTGGTGAAATAAAAATATTCTTGGTTCTTTCGGTAAAGTCACGTAGAAGGGAAATAATAAGACGCTGTCTTTCCGACAGCTCTGTTTCTTCACCTGAGGACGGCTGCTTGCGTTGTGGCCGAAACGTCGTGGGAATTTTATATTGTTTTATATTTTTATTATTTTATTGTTTCCCTTCTACGTGGTGGTGACTTTACCGAAAGAACCAAGAATATGAATCCCTGCATTCACGAAAGCTTTAAATCGAAAAATAAAAATAGTTTATAGTTGAGTGATTTTTGATTTAAAGCTTTCGTGACTGCAGGGATTCATATTCTTGGTTCTTTCGGTAAAGTCACCACCACGTTAAGAAGGGAAACAATAAAATAATAAAAATATAAAACAATAAAATTCTCACGACCTTTCGACTACAACACAAGCAATCATCATCAGTTGTGGAAACCACAACAAATAACCGCCACTTTTTTTTAAAAAAAATGTATTGTTGTGGTTTTTACACCTGATGATGATTGCTTGTGTTGCAGTCGAAACGTCGTGAGAATTTTATTGTTTTATATTTTTATTATTTTATTGTTTGCCTTCTACGTGACTTTAGTGATTTGTTTACATTCCCTATACTTTGCACTATCGTGCGTTCGCGTATGTTGTTGTTGTGTTGACGTTGTGACCACCCCCTGTTCCTCCTTAACCGGAACATCTGTGACAGAAAAGAGCTTTATAGCTCTTCGGATTCCTTCCTGCAGTGATACATATTTATGATTCTGATCGATCGAATTGACTACGCCACTGGGCTTACATCCAGTCAGATCTCGAGTGCTCTACCTAATAAATTAAACTGAGTGTCGTTATTAAATAAAAAAAATAATTATTGCAGGGCAGTCTGCAAGGGGAGTCTGATTACATCAGCCTTCGCGTAGCTACCGATCCGCTGTACGAAATCTAATAGTCTTTACACCCCCTATACCTATCAATGTTGTGAAATAAAATTACATGTCACGGTGACCAGCGAATGGGAGTGGCGGTCTAGTTACATCAGCTGTTGAGAAACTGCCTATCCGCTGTAGGTAATCCAGCAGCCACCCCACGCCCTGGTACTTATCACTGTTAGGAAATCAACAGCGACTTGTCACATCGTCTGTTGAGTAGCTACCCATCCGATGTACGTAATCTAATATCCTCCTCACGTCCTATACTTATCGCTGTTACGAAATAAAATGTTATGTTCCGGCGAACAGCCAATGGGAGGGGCCACATCAGCTGCTGAGTAACTGCCTATCCACTGTAGGTAATCTAACAGCCACCCACGCCCTATACATATCGCTGTTATAAAATCAACAGCCAATGGGGGGGGGGGGGTTGCGTATAATCACATCGCCCCATCCGCTGTACGTTATCTGATATAGCCGCCACGTCCCATACCTATCGCTGTTAAGAAATCAACAGCCAATGGGGGGAGGTCGCGTCTAGTCACATCGTCGTCCCCCCAATCCGCTGTACGTTATCTGATGTAGCCGCCACGTCCCATACCTATCGCTGTTAAGAAATCAACAGCCAATGGGGAGGGCCGCGTCTTCGGCGGGTGCGGTGACGTCACTGCCCGTGCAGCCAATGAGGAGGCGCCGTCTCGCGTGAGCTTCGACTCCGATTTTAGAAAGATGGCGGCGTCCTTGAGGGTCTGTGGGTGGTCGCTCCGCTCGGGACTTCGCGGAGGGAAAACTTCGTCGGCATTCAACCTCCAGGTGAGGAGGAGGAGGAGGAACGAGAGGTAGGCGATTCTCGGGGGTTTATCTTGTTTTTAAATCTCCGTGGTTGATTTGGTGGGGGTGGTGGCCTTAAAGCTTCCGCGACCTTTGAGACTAGGCCCCCATTGGCTCAGCATTGGCGGTGATAGCCGAGTGTCTGGTTATGATTTTAACTTTAAATCTAGAATGTGATTTTAAGCTTTCGTTGGCTGCCGGGAATCCAAACCGTTTGGTTCTTTCGAAAATATTATTTTATTTCGATTTAAAGCTTTCGTCTCGTCCCCTTCACCTGATGAAGGCCGCTTGTGTTGTGGCCGAAACGTTGTGAGAATATTATTGTGTTATTTTATTTTATCAATTTATTATTTTATTCTCATTCTAGGTGGTGGTGACTTTACCGAAAGAATCAAAGAAAATATTATTTTAGTTTCTACCTTCGCGACTTTACCGAAAAAAATCAGAGTGAAAAGTCTCTGTTAGTTAATGTCGTAATGGTTACACAAGGTTGCGTCTCTGTAACTTAACGTTCACTAGGCAGACGTTAACGTTATAGAGGCGTAACTTTATAACATAATCACCACGTTATATAAACACACAAACGTAATGTTTAACTAGACTAAGATTGTGTCTATATAACGTAGTGATTGTGCGTTACGTCTCTGTAACTTAACGTTCACTAGGCAGGCGTTACGTTATAGAGGCGTAACTTTATAACATAATCACCACGTTATATAAACACACAAACTTAATGTTTAACTAGACTAAGATTGTGTCTATATAACGTAGTGATTGTGCGTTACGTCTCTGTAACTTAACGTTCACTAGGCAAACGTTACGTTATAGAGACGTAACTTTATAACATAATCACCACGTTATATAAACACACAAACGTAATGTTTAACTAGACTAAGATTGTGTCTATATAACGTAGTGATTGTGCGTTACGTCTCTGTAACTTAACGTTAACTAGGCAGGCGTTAACGTTATAGAGGCGTAACTTTATAACATAATCACCACGTTATATAAACACACAAACGTAATGTTTAACTAGACTAAGATTGTGTCTATATAACGTAGTGATTGTGCGTTACGTCTCTGTAACTTAACGTTCACTAGGCAGGCGTTAACGTTATAGAGACGTAACTTTATAACATAATCACCACGTTATATAAACACACAAACGTAATTTTTAACTCGACTAAGATTGTCTATATAACGTAGTGATTGTGCGTTACGAGGTTATGTCTATAACTTAATGTTTCACTAGACTAAGGTTGTGTGTCTATATAACGTAGTTATTTTATGTTACATATCTATAACGTAATGTTGGTATCTTTACAATATTAGCATGTTACAAGGTTATTGTATAACTTAGTGTTGGAATGTTACGAGGTTATTGTATACCTTAGTGTTGGTATGGTATAATGTTTATATATATACAGAGAGAGATGCCCAGACCCAGGGCTCGAACCCAGGTTCTCAGTGTCTCCGACACGGTAATTGTGAACCTCCTGAGAGAGAGAGAGAGACACCCAGACCCAGGGCTTGAACCCAGGTTCTCAGTGTCTCCGACACGGTAATTGTGAACCCCCTGAGAGAGAGAGAGGGAGAGAGAGACACCCAGACCCAGGGCTTGAACCCAGGATCTCAAAGTCGCCGACACGCCCATCGTGAAACACCGCCTACCCCCGTGTCACCCTACCAGTTCATATGAGGACGCTCGGCATTGCGGGAGTAATTTGACCTTCCGCGTCCCAGCAGTGACTTACGAGCCCAAATGAGTGACACCTGGTACCCCCATGGTGTGTCGAGAACTTCGGCACTGGGGGAGACAAAGACGGCTGGGCGTGTGCGTGGCGTAATGGTGCTTGCCACACCACCCACCCACCCCCTCTGTGTGTGTGTGTGTGTGCGCTATAGTGCCCGGCCTTCACAGGCGCTGCTGTTACTCGCTGATAGCAGCGCTTGCCCCAACAGTGTTAGAGGCTACACGGTGGACCTTTTGCCTGTATCCGTGTGCGAGTGGTTGGGTGAGTGGGTGAGTCAGTGAGTGGTTGAGTGAGTCAGTGAGTGCGTCAGTGAGTGGTTCAGTGAGTGAAAGTGTGTATAAGTAAGTGAGTGAGTGGTTGAGTGAGTATAAAGGTGTATAAGTGAGTGAGTGGTTGTGTGAGTGAAAGTGTGTATAAGTGAGTGGTTGAGTGAGTATGAGGGTGTATACATGCGTGAGTCAGTGAGTGAACTGGTGAGTGGTTGAGTGCGTCAGTGAGTGGTTGAGTGAGTGAAAGTGAGTGAGCGGTTGAGTGAGTATGAGGGTGTGTAAATGAGTGAGTCAGTGAGTGAATTGGTGAGTGGTTAAGTGAGTCAGTGAGTGGTTGAGTGAGTGAAAGTGTGTATAAGTGAGTGCATCAGTGAGTGCGTCAGTGAGTATGTCAGTGAGTATAAGTGTGTGTGAGTCAGTGAGTGGTTGAGTGAGTATAAGTGTGTATAGATGAGTGAGTCTGAGTGGTTGAGTGAGTATAAGTGTGTATAGATGAGTGAGTCAGTGAGTGGTTGAGTGAGTATAAGTGTGTATAGATGAGTGAGTCAGTGAGTGGTTGAGTGAGTATAAGTGTGTATAGATGAGTGAGTCAGTGAGTGGTTGAGTGAGTATAAGTGTGTATAGATGAGTGAGTCAGTGAGTGGTTGAGTGAGTATAAGTGTGTATAGATGAGTGAGTCAGTGAGTGGTTGAGTGAGTATAAGTGTGTATAGATGAGTGAGTCAGTGAGTGGCTGAGTGAGTATAAGTGTGTATAGATGAGTGAGTCAGTGAGTGAGTCAGTGAGTGGTTGAGTGAGTCAGTGAGTGGTTGAGTGAGTATAAGTGTGTATAGATGAGTGAGTCAGTGAGTGGTTGAGTGAGTCAGTGAGTGGTTGAGTGAGTATAAGTGTGTATAGATGAGTGAGTCAGTGAGTCGTTGAGTGAGTCAGTGAGTGGTTGAGTGAGTATAAGTGTGTATAGATGAGTGAGTCAGTGAGTGGTTGAGTGAGTATTAGTGTGTATAGATGAGTGAGTCAGTGAGTGGTTGAGTGAGTCAGTTCGTGGTTGAGTGAGTCAGTGAGTGGTTGAGTGAGTCAGTGAGTGGTTGAGTGAGTCAGTGAGTGGTTGAGTGAGTATAAGTGTGTATAGATGAGTGAGTCAGTGAGTGGTTGAGTGAGTCAGTGAGTGGTTGAGTGAGTCAGTGAGTGGTTGAGTGAGTCAGTGAGTGGTTGAGTGAGTATAAGTGTGTATAGATGAGTGAGTCAGTGAGTGGTTGAGTGAGTCAGTGAGTGGTTGAGTGAGTATAAGTGTGTATAGATGAGTGAGTCAGTGAGTCGTTGAGTGAGTCAGTGAGTGGTTGAGTGATGAGTATAAGTGTGTATAGATGAGTGAGTCAGTGAGTGGTTGAGTATAAGTGTGTATAGATGAGTGAGTCAGTGAGTGGTTGAGTGAGTCAGTGAGTGGTTGAGTGAGTCAGTGAGTGGTTGAGTGAGTATAAGTGTGTATAGATGAGTGAGTCAGTGAGTGGTTGAGTGAGTATAAGTGTGTATAGATGAGTGAGTCAGTGAGTGGTTGAGTGAGTCAGTGAGTGGTTGAGTGAGTCAGTGAGTGGCTGAGCGAGTATAAGTGTGTATAGATGAGTGAGTCAGTGAGTGGTTGAGTGAGTATAAGTGTGTATAGATGAGTGAGTCAGTGAGTGGTTGAGTGAGTATAAGTGTGTATAGATGAGTGAGTCAGTGAGTGGTTGAGTGAGTCAGTGAGTGGTTGAGTGAGTCAGTGAGTGGTTGAGTGAGTCAGTGAGTGGCTGAGCGAGTCAGTGAGTGGTTGAGTGAGTCAGTGAGTGGTTGAGTGAGTCAGTGAGTGGTTGAGTGAGTATAAGTGTGTATAGATGAGTGAGTCAGTGAGTGGTTGAGTGAGTCAGTGAGTGGTTGAGTGAGTCAGTGAGTGGTTGAGTGAGTCGGTGAGTGGTTGAGTGAGTCAGTGAGTGGCTGAGCGAGTATAAGTGTGTATAGATGAGTGAGTCAGTGAGTGGCTGAGTGAGTATAAGTGTGTATAGATGAGTGAGTCAGTGAGTGTTTGAGTGAGTATAAGTGTGTATAGATGAGTGAGTCAGTGAGTGGTTGAGTGAGTCAGTGAGTGGTTGAGTGAGTATAAGTGTGTATAGACGAGTGAGTCAGTGAGTGGTTGAGTGAGTCAGTGAGTGGTTGAGTGAGTATAAGTGTGTATAGATGAGTGAGTCAGTGAGTCGTTGAGTGAGTCGGTGAGTGGTTGAGTGATGAGTATAAGTGTGTATAGATGAGTGAGTCGGTGAGTGGTTGAGTGAGTATGAGTGTGTATAGATGAGTGAGTCAGTGAGTGGTTGAGTGAGTCAGTGAGTGGTTGAGTGAGTCAGTGAGTGGTTGAGTGAGTCAGTGAGTGGTTGAGTGAGTATAAGTGTGTATAGATGAGTGAGTCAGTGAGTGGTTGAGTGAGTATAAGTGTGTATAGATGAGTGAGTCAGTGAGTGGTTGAGTGAGTCAGTGAGTGGTTGAGTGAGTCAGTGAGTGGCTGAGCGAGTATAAGTGTGTATAGATGAGTGAGTCAGTGAGTGGTTGAGTGAGTATAAGTGTGTATAGATGAGTGAGTCTGTGAGTGGTTGAGTGAGTATAAGTGTGTATAGATGAGTGAGTCAGTGAGTGGTTGAGTGAGTCAGTGAGTGGTTGAGTGAGTCAGTGAGTGGTTGAGTGAGTCAGTGAGTGGCTGAGCGAGTCAGTGAGTGGTTGAGTGAGTCAGTGAGTGGTTGAGTGAGTCAGTGAATGGCTGAGCGAGTATAAGTGTGTATAGATGAGTGAGTCAGTGAGTGGTTGAGTGAGTCAGTGAGTGGTTGAGTGAGTCAGTGAGTGGCTGAGCGAGTATAAGTGTGTATAGATGAGTGAGTCAGTGAGTGGTTGAGTGAGTCAGTGAGTGGCTGAGCGAGTCAGTGAGTGGCTGAGCGAGTATAAGTGTGTATAGATGAGTGAGTCAGTGAGTGGTTGAGTGAGTCGGTGAGTGGTTGAGTGAGTCAGTGAGTGGCTGAGTGAGTCGGTGAGTGGTTGAGCGAGTCGGCGAGTGGTTGAGTGAGTCAGTGAGTGGTTGAGTGAGTCAGTGAGTGGTTGAGTGAGTCAGGGAGTGGTTGAGCGAGTCGGTGAGTGGTTGAGCGAGTCGGTGAGTGGTTGAGCGAGTCGGTGAGTGGTTGAGCGAGTCGGCGAGTGGTTGAGTGAGTCAGTGAGTGGCTGAGCGAGTATAAGTGTGTATAGATGAGTGAGTCAGTGAGTGGTTGAGCGAGTCAGTGAGTGGTTGAGCGAGTCGGTGAGTGGTTGAGCGAGTCGGTGAGTGGTTGAGCGAGTCGGCGAGTGGTTGAGTGAGTCAGTGAGTGGCTGAGCGAGTATAAGTGCCCGGCCTTCACTGGGGCACCTTTGCCTGTGCCTTTGCGTCTCTGCAGTCGACGCGCCCGGCCACCGCGGCCGCCGCGGCCTCCGTGGGGGCCTCCCCGCAGCCGCCTTCACCACCGCCTCCGACGCCCCGCATCAAGAAGTTCAGCATCTACCGCTGGGACCCAGACAAGAGCGGCGACAAGCCCAGGGTGCAGACCTTCGACGTGGACCTGAACGCGTATGGCACGCGCGCATACACACACACATATATATATACATACATACACACATATATACATACATATATACATACACACATACACACACATATACATACATACACATACACACATACATATATATAACAACAACAACAACAACCGCCATTCGCCACTAAGTGGCGGTGACGTCACCACGACGCTTGTGCCAGGCTATGTGCACCCTGAGGCCACGTGAAGTGTCGAACGCCCGCTGGCAGGAGGTCACGGGGCAGACCCAGGTGCCACGGGTCGACTGACTGAGATGACTGGCTGATGCACCACCTGTGCCCCCTACTGTGCCAACCTGCTGTGCTTTAGCCACCCGGCGCTCCGCTCGCTGTTGTGAGCGTCGCTCCTCCGCCCTCCGTTGTTGTTGGAGGGCGACTGCCTCCAACTGCCCAGTAGCATCCTTCACGAGCCTCCTCCACAGAGGCCGATCTTGACACCGCTGGTACCAGTCATCGGCAAGTCCACTCAGCTCCACGTCCTCCTGTACCACATCACTCCATCTCTTCTCTAGCCCGTGCCGCGCCCGCTTAGCCCCCTCAATCCGGCCAAACAAAAGCTGTTTCGGCATGCGGTGGCTGGGCATGCGGGCTACATGACCCAGCCATCGCAGCCTTGCCTGCCGGAGGAGCTCACCGATGGGACCCTGCCCAGATCTTTCAAGGATTTGTGAGCTCCTCACACAATCCAGTCTGGTTAAACCCAGGATGGATCGTAGGCAGGTCAGCCTAAATGTTTCTAACCGGCGAAGATGTTCCATTAGGGGGGTCCACGTTTCGCAAGCGTAGAGAAGGGAGGGAATGACCGTGGCCGAGAAGACCTGAAGCTTAGTGCGGAGCGACAGACCAGGTAGCTTCCACACAGCGTTACGCAACCGATGAAAAGATATTGCCGCTCGACTGATTCGGAGTGAGACCTCTGCTGTTAAACTGGAGCCAGTCATAAGCACACTGCCCAGGTATGGGAAACTCTCCACTCTCTCCACAACTGCCCCATCACCGATTGGGAGTTGTGGGGGTGGAGTGTCCGATGGTACAAAATACCCAGGCAGGTGCTTAGTTTTGGTGGGGCTGATGGTAAGGCCCCACCTCTTAGTGGCACGCTCCAGTCTCAGCAGCAGCGTCTCCAACTCCTCCTCTGACTGAGCAGCTATTACCAAGTCATCAGCATACATAACGTGGTTGAGCAATAGGGAGCCATCCCTTGACCGCACCCGGGCATCGATTAGCCTCCCATTATATCTGTACCATATGGAGATTCCCCCGGTACAGCTATTGAAGGCTTCACGAACTACGTGGTCAAAATAGATGTTAAATAATGTGGGAGCCAGAGGACATCCCTGTCGCACCCCAAGGTGTACAGGGAATGGCTCTGACTCCCGGCCACGTAGTTTTACCCGGGCCCGCTCACCATCATGAAGGTCCTTAATGATCGTGAGCAGAGGGTCAGGTACTCCAAAAGCACGAAGAACGACCCAGAGCCCAGGCCTACTGATGGTATCATAGGCCTTGACCAGGTCAATAAAGCAGAGATGTAGGTCTTGTTGGAATTCCCTACACCTCTGCTGTAGCAGACGGACAGAAAATATGGCATCTGTGCAGGACCGCCCTTTCCTGAAACCGCATTGGGGCTCCGCAAGCCTCTCCTCAGCGTGCCTGGCAAGGCGATGCTGAATAATCCTTGCCAGGACCTTTCCCGGCACACTGAGGAGTGAGATGCCCCTGTAGTTGTTACAGTCTGTGCGGTCCCCCTTCTTAAAAAGGGGGACCACCAGGGCATCCTTCCAATCCTGCGGAACCCGTCCAGTGGTCCAGACTGTTGTTATGATGTCATATAGGGCAGTCTGTGCACAAACGCCACCCTCCCTCAGCATTTCGCTTGGGAGATCATCTCTGCCCGCTGCCTTTCCTGGTCTCAGACTCCGGATCGCCTTCAATACTTCCTCAGCAGATGGCACCTCAGCCAGCCACTCACAGGGGGTGACTTCATCCAATATTTGAGGCACCGCAGCCTCAGCAGGGTCATCCTCACTTTGTGCCACGATGTTTTCCTGGCTGTGGGATTTTCCCTCCCCCAGGACCTCACAGAAATGCTCAGCAAATCTGCGAACCTGTTCCTGGGGGTCGGAAATTGGATCACCGTTTTTTCCCCTAATGATGGTAATAGGTGTGGCGCTGCAGGTTACTTTTTTGATGGAGTTAAATAGCGATTTGTGATCACGGGCCACTGAGGCAGACTCCATCTCCTCAGCAACCCGCGACCACCACCCATCCTTGCAGCGCCTCACGGCTCTCCGAACCTCCGAGCGAAGGCTGCGGTAAGCCTCCTCATTCTCTGACGTGGGATTCTGTAGCCGATGACAGTGGGCCTGTCGCTTTTTCTCAACCATCCTGAACAACTCCTCTGTCATCCAGGGTGTCTGGGGAGGTCTGGACCGCGTACCCAAAGCAGCCATTGCAGCTGCATGAGTCACAGTCCTAAACCTCGCCCATTTACCCTCGACATCAGGAGGAGTCGGGGACGATGCCAATCCCAGCCGCAAGCGATGATGAAATTCTCGCTTGCAACTTTCATCAGATAACTGAGACCAGGCCACTTTAGGTTGGAATGGGGTCCTGGGTGTACACCCACCACCGGAGTGGAAGAATGGCAGGCGCATCTTACAGATGACTAGTCGATGGTCAGAGGGCAGATCAGCTCCACGGTAGGTCCTGGTGTCAAGGACATGGGCTCGCATTCGCTGGTCCGTCACTATGTAGTCCAGCAGATGTTCTTGCTTGGACCCGGCATGCATCCATGATGTTGTGTGGATGCGCCGATGCCGGAACAGCGTGTTGGTAATTACAAGCCCATGGGCTGCACAAAAATCTAGCAGCCTCCTACCGTTGTTATTGAGCTGATCTGGCCCATGCCCTCCAATCACTCCAGACCAGGTGCCAGTATCATGACCAACTCGGGCATTGAAGTCACCCAACATGATGACTCTATCCCGAGGGGCCACTTTAGCCAGCACCTGTGACAGGAGGTCATAGAAGGCATCTGACTCATCGGCTTTGCCTGCATCCCTCCACGGATGTTCATCTTCGGTGGGGGCATAAGTAACCACGACCACCATTCCTCGCCTCCGGTTGATGGGAAGGCGAGCCCAAAGTAGCCTGGGGCTTACAGCTTCCCACACCTCACCGCCACGCTCCCACGCCCCCTTCATTCTTTTGTTCAAAAGAAGACCCACACCCTGTTGTTTGGCAGTCTGCTGCCCCGAGTAGAGGACTGTCCACCCCTCATGGTGGCAGGAGCCAGAGCCGGTCCACCGGACCTCCTGAATGCCGCATAGATCCAGGCGGTACCGGTCCAGCTCCCGACAGAGGAGTGGCAGCCTCTCCTCTGCAGTGAGCGTTCGAACATTCCACGTGGCCACCCGTAGTGGCTTTTCGTTGTTTCTGGAGTAGCCCCGAGGGTAGGTATTCAATCTCCTGGCTCCGCCAATTGGGGTTTGGCCAGGAGACGTCATAGACGCCTGGCCCCCCGGGGCCTCCGGCACAAGCTTAGTTGTTACATATTTCACTTTAATTCGTGGTTTTGTGGTAATTAATTGAAGGTGGAGGGGTTACCAGCCCCTCGCACCCGTCCAGAGCCCCCGTTTAGCCCCTGTGGTGGACACATATGCCATGAGGGGAGGAGCCAATCAAAATTGGAACTCCCCCCACAGCACTGTCCACGACAGAGTTGCCCGTCCGGCACCGCGAGGAGGTAGGGGGTTGTTTTGCCGGACATACATACACACACATACACACACATACACACACACACATATACATACACATACATACACACATACATACACATACATACACATATACATACACACACATATATACATACACACACATATATACATACACACACATATATACATACATATACATACACATACATATACATACACACACATATACATACACACACATATATACATACACACACATACACACACATATATACATATATACATACACACACATACATATATACATATACATATATACATACACGCATACACACGCATACACACACATACATACACATACATACATATACATACACAAATACATACACACACACATATACATACACACACACATTTACATACACACATATATACATACACACACATATATATACATACACACACACATATATATATACATACACACACACATATACACATACATATATATACATACACATATATACATACACATACATACACATATATACATATACACACATACAACAACAACAACCGCCATTCGCCACTAAGTGGCGGTGACGTCACCACGACGCTTGTGCCAGGCTATGTGCACCCTGAGGCCACGTGAAGTGTCGAACGCCCGCTGGCAGGTGGTCACGGGGCAGACCCAGGTGCCACGGGTCGACTGACTGAGATGACTGGCTGATGCACCACCTGTGCCCCCTACTGTGCCAACCTGCTGTGCTTTAGCCACCCGGCGCTCCGCTCGCTGTTGTGAGCGTCGCTCCTCCGCCCTCCGTTGTTGTTGGAGGGCGACTGCCTCCAACTGCCCAGTAGCATCCTTCACGAGCCTCCTCCACAGAGGCCGATCTTGACACCGCTGGTACCAGTCATCGGCAAGTCCACTCAGCTCCACGTCCTCCTGTACCACATCACTCCATCTCTTCTCTAGCCCGTGCCGCGCCCGCTTAGCCCCCTCAATCCGGCCAAACAAAAGCTGTTTCGGCATGCGGTGGCTGGGCATGCGGGCTACATGACCCAGCCATCGCAGCCTTGCCTCCCGGAGGAGCTCACCGATGGGACCCTGCCCAGATCTTTCAAGGATTTGTGAGCTCCTCACACAATCCAGTCTGGTTA